TTGGTGTTTTTTCAATGTATGCTTCAGACACGGGTCACGACGAGGCGTTCCCCATAGCGACCCCTAGAGGACGCAGTTCGAAGTTCCCATGAAAGGGAACCTTTATAGACATATTGAACTTTTTCTATTAGGAATTTGAATTTCAGAAGGGTGTTCCACTTCCGTAAAGCCATTTAGTTTGGTCTGTTCTCTCTTTGTAATGAACAGAAACAATACACTCATTACGGTCAGCAGCAGCAGAATAACAGGGATCAACGTGAAGCATCCATGGCATCTGTACGCTGACTCTCCTTGCCTCTCACTCTTATCTGTACAAAGAAATTGAATTAAAATGCTAATTAGTTTTAGACACAAATGTTGTTGATGATTCATAAGAATTTTAAACAACGTGTTTTTGAAAGTCCTTACCCGAGTAGAGCTGGATCTCTCTCCTGATGTCTTGTCCCAGGGCTTTGTTGTGCAGTATGAATGTCAGGGAGGAGTTTGTGACTTCAGTGAGATTTATCCAACTGACACAACATAAAGTCCCGTATGAGTGTCCTGCATGAGGTGCGTTTGTGCCTGGTTAGTGATGTCTGAGTTCTCCATCAGCCACTGCAGTGTAGGAGAAGGGTAACCCCCATCTGAAGTCACTAGCAGATTCACTCCATCATTTAACAATGAGAACTGCAGACGAGGTTCAGAGTAGAATGCTGAAAAACACAACAAAGCAGGCATTAAAACACAGGGCAGTTTCAGTCACATTGTAAGACCTTGAAATTGATTCGCATGATTTTCTATGAACATCAGTACATGTTGCTTTGTTACCTGCAATTTTCACTCCAAAGCTCTTCTTCAGGCTGCCAGTGTTTGTGCTGACGGAGCAAGTGTAAACACCAGCATCCTGAAGAGTGATTTTGTCCAGTTTGAGTGATGCGTTCCCCTGTGTCATCTCCTGACTGAACAGACTGGTGCGTTTGACGTAATGCCGTTAAAGGTGTTGATTAAAGTGGTAAAATAAAAAAAATAAAGTTTAAACCTCCTTGTCGATGGTGTTCATAAGTACAGATAAAATAAATCTAATAAATTATAAACCGATAACAGCATCAGAAACATACCATTACACACAAGACGTCTCACGTATTCAAAACAGATAGCGTAAGAAAAAAAAAAAAAAGCACACGCTGGAATCTTCTTTGGTGTGGGACACCGACCAGGCTTCACTGCATGGACACGGATAGTCAGCTTTAGTCGGTCTATTTAGTGGCATTCAGTCTTATATATGCACCACTAAACACTCAGCATTGACAGCAAATTTTACCTACAGTGAGTTACATTCCAAGTATTGTTTTATTAATTTTGTAAAGCCATCCAGTTTAAAAACTGTCCTATGAATGAATAAGTTAACCTACATTTGACACCAAGAAAAACATTAGTATCATCCGATTTTTAATACGGATACCTGTATATGGAGCCGTACAGCGATGTCCACGTCCATTGCTGCAGCACTTCTCATTGTCTGGACAGTCAGAGTCACCAGTACAGGACCTGGCACATGATCCTCCCACAGGTTTTTCGGGTGGACACTCTCCTGGCTTTGCTGTTATTGCAACAGAACGCCAACCTTTATTCAAATTTCACATTTATCTGCTTCAAGTTAAAGGACTTTAGAAACCCATTCATTACTAAACTGTTAATAAGTTTCAAAGACACTAGCTACTGCATTTCTTGGGGCTGTGTAATCAAGTTTACAGATCTTCTCACCTGAGGCTTTACTTCGAGTAGCATCTGTTGTGCTCAAGCATCCGGACAGACATAATAAAACAGCAGTCAGCAAGCAGTACACTTGAGCTGTCGTCTTCTAGACCTGAGATCTCTCAATGATCTGCTGGAAAACACGCTGAATTAATGCGTCAGGAGGCGAGAACAGCAAAACACACCAAACAAACTACCGTGTTGCAGCAACAAAAACCTCTGTAAAATAGTGGCTTTTAAAGATCCAGGGCTACTCCAACTCTGATTAAACTCACCTGCATGTAGCTTAGTAATCATGGTTTATATACATGTTGCTGCTGATTGGGCTTACATTTTTGACACACCCACCAAACAAGAGAAAACGTATCTCAAACCCCGTTGCACACCGTTTCCAGGAAACATGTTGTTCAACCCGGAAACCGTAGCAAAACGTTGCGCACCGGCTTGAGCTTGAACGTGTCCCTGCCAAACAAATGCGCAGTGGTCAGGTAGTACCGCGATCACGTGGTACAAGTTGGACTCGATGGTCAGAAAGTTTGCAAGTTGTAATTTTGAATAAACTCCTACACCTCTTGCACCTAAACTTTGCAGGAACGTGGATTTCAACTAGAAATTGTAAACATTTGGCATAAATCTGCACAGAATATCAGGAGACACAACAGAGAAGAATCCAAGTGGGACACTATGTTTATCACTACTGTTTGATGGGCCACAACCCCCCTGGCCCAAATGAGTTACTGTGAATAAATCTGCACAGAATATCAGGAGACACAACAGAGAAGAATCCAAGTGGACACTATGTTTATCACTACTGTTTGATGGGCCACAACCCCCCTGGCCCAAATGAGTTACTGTGCCCCAATGTTGTTGGCAGCCGCTGTTGTCTAGAAGCAGAAGTGAATGTGAGCAGTGAGGAGGTTTTTGTCATGCTGTGAATAACTGTGATACGTACTCACTAACAGATTTGTCCCATGTGTGAGAGTAATACACAGCAGAATCAGCCACATCCACATTACTGATGATCAGACTATCATCTGATTTAGATGAATGTGTTGATGTGAATTTAGGAGCAGAGAAACCAGATCCATAACGAACTGAGCTCCAGACATGATGAAATCTTAACTCCTGCTGGAGTCTGTTTGTACCATCCAGCATCATTAATTATTGTCCTCAGATTGCAGTCCAGTTTAGCTGTTTGTCATTTGTTAATTGTAAATGGAAGACTTATTCTCTACAGTCACACTTCAGCCTAGTTGTTGAGTAAAATAATGGTGAAATGTGCTTTTGTGAGGTAAAAAGATGCAGTGAAAGTGAATGATCTCTCTGTTGCTAATAATTTGCCTAAAGATTGGCCATTTGAAAGTCTTCATCCAGGTAATAAATGCAATTTATGAAAAATGTATATAAATTATGACGCAACTACACAATTCATCAACACAATGCATTACAAAATATCAATCAAAACATGCTTTACTGAAGTTGAATCCTTTGAATTTCATTATGGAAATGAATAAAGATCAACAAAAGTTACTGTGTTGCGCTGCAGCAAAATGGGAAATGCTTCAAAAGTCTTTGAATTCGTAAATCAGAGTTGCACCTCATATAAATGTAGCCCATTTCACAGAGTAATGACTGTTGTGAGACACAAACAAGCACTCAGTCATGTTGAAGCAGTGCCCTTTATCTTATTTTCCATTCTTGTACTTCGTCATGTGGGATGCAATGGATGATGAGATCTCAGAGGATTTCTTGTTTTGTCCAAAATACTCAAGAAACTGGCCATCAGGTCCCACCAGATACATTATGATGGTGTGATCAACCTGCGGTTATGAGAGAATACAATATTTGCATGCTGAGTACAGGTTTGTGAGATTATTAGGAATTATTTAAAGATATAGTTCACCCAAAAATGAAGATTCTGTTACCATTTACTCACCCTCAAGTGAAGAATATTGGTAACCAAACAGCTGATAGTAGCCATTGACTATTTTTTTCCATACTATGTAACTCAATGGCTACTATCAGCTGTTTGGTTACCAACATTCTTCAAAATATCTTCTTTTGGGTGAGTAAATGCTGACAGAATTTTCATTTTCGGTGAACTATCCCTTTAATATTAGTCAAGAAAATAACATTCTTCTGTCAGGTTATTACACAAGCTAAACTACATTATTTTACATTATACACTAAAAGCTCACATTGTAGTCGTTGTCTTCATCTTTTGGGCCCTGGCTATAATACACTCTGTAGTAGGCTCTGGAGACCAGCTGTGCCTGTCAGACCGATCAGCTTGGGGGAAACTCTGCATGTGAGATTTTGAAAAATATAGATGACGAGGAATCACATTACAGCATTCGGTAAGTGTAGAGTGAAAAAAATGATCCCTGCTCACCTTTGACATAGGCTGCCAGTGCTTCTGGTGTGTCTCTATCAGGATCAACAGTGATGAGAATTGGTGTTATGTCTGGAAGCGTTTTAATTCTATCTGTGACAGAAAATGAACCGGTTTACTTGAAAATTTTTCTTGTACTATTTTTCCTTTAAATAAATGCCACTTTGTGCGATTTTTTTATCTGATGAAATAATCATTGTAATAAAAATAATAATAAATAAACATCATATAAAGAATATTGTATAATGTATATATATATTTTATACCTGACTGATAAAGTATCCTTGGGCTTTGAAGGCTCTTCATAATAAAAAAAAAAGAAATGCTGCTTTACCAATCTCATCAACCGCCTTTTCTCCAGTTCATCAGGACAGATGTCTGGACAGTGTGTGAAACCGAAATAGATCAGCAGCCACTGGCCGAGGAAATCTTCACTCTTTGTGGATTTGTTGTTGTGGTCGACGAGTGAGAACAGACCTCCAAGTGCTGCTTTTCCCATCGACTTTGTTCTTTCTTCCTCAATCACTACAACACCAAAAACACATTAACAACAATGCTCTCATTATGATGTGGAGCATTTGCATATAATACCAAGTCAATGCTGTGTAGGTTAATCACTTATGCATGCTGTTCAGATGCACAAATCCATGTCCTTACTTTCCTCCTTTTCTCTCTTGAAGAATTTTCATCCCTAGAAGAAGACCTCCTCCAAACGCAAATGTGATAGCAAGAGACTTCCATGTAACTGGCTGTAGAAAAGAGACATCAGTAGCATTGGTAAGTTTGATGGAAATACACTTAATAAGCAGTAATTATCGAAGAAATGTTGAAGAAATCTGTGAAGTGCCCTACTTTGGGGCTAGTAAATGGTATTTCAAATAAGTTCTGTTCTTTTGAACTCTCTATTCATAAAAGAATCCTGAGAAAGATGTATAACAGTTTCCACAAATATATGAGGCAGCACAACCATTTTCAACATTAATGATAATAAGAAATGTTTCTTGAGCAGCAAATCAGTATATCAGACTGATTTCTGAAGGATCATGTGACACTGAAGACTGGAGTATTGATGCTGAAAATTCACCTTTGCATCACAGGAATAAATTATATGAAATAAATACTTATAAATTATGGACCCTTTTATCCAAACCCTGGAGAACCAATAACCTTTCAGTCACCAGTCCTGATCGGTCACTGCAGAGAGTTGTTTAGTGCTTTAAATGAAGCTTATCCTGTTGCTGGATTTGTCACTTCTTGATGAGGGAGGTGGAGGAAGAGTAGACAGGGGCCGTATGTTCAGAAGGGACACACACGGTGCTGTCCTACACGTCCTAAACTGCAGGAGGTCTCACGAAATAAATGAAAATGCTGGAGGAGTAGACACACCTTCATATAAACATCATTTAGCTATAAAAGGGACACAAAGGGACTAATGGTTTTCAACCAGGGGGCCTCAGCAAACTTCTAAGGGGCCCACAGGATGATTTAAAATGGTTTAATTTAATTAATAACATAAAATCAAGTTGACGTTACATTTAAAGGTATAATAACAATTAACACATTTATATAGGTGCATGCTGAGAATTAAACAGGCAACACTTCAGTCACACTAATTACTAGTTTACACACGAAGCAGCAGATATATTTGAAAATATTATTTCTGAATGACTGAATGAATCAGCCAGTGACCTACCAGTGTGTTGGTGTGTGACAGCACTGCACATGCGTGCGCTGGTCCTGAACTGACACGAACTGATCTGAGGTCTGTTTGAAGACATGAACTAGATATCGGATATGACGTAGCTCACTTCTTCGCTTCCTATTTTTCGTACGTGGATGGAGACTTCTAGCGCTTTAAACCCCGATAGAAACGATGAAATAATAAACAAACGATTAATTAAAAACAAAAAATGAACTTGAACTGAAACATTGTATTTGTTTTAAATAATTATTTTGCGCTTATGAACATGTACTTACACAAATGATTTTGTAACCAGCACTTTCTCCTTACTAAGGAATTATAGTGTAATGACATTATTATATTTATATATGTATTATATTTGATAATTTATTATTATTATTACTATTGTTGTTATTCATCTAAAAGGATATTTTTGTTTGGCATTCGTTTGTTTGCCACTAGAGGTTTTTTATGCTTTAAACGACAAATACAGAACAATACAACAGACTACGGTGGCCGAGAAGCGCAAAGCAAATCACAATTCTGAAAACAAAATAACAAATTACAAACGCAAATGCAAGTCTAAAAAACGAAATAACAATTCAGAAAGCACAACAACAATTCAGAAAAAATTATAATTTCAGAATTGTGATTTGTTTTGCACTTCTCGACCACCGTAACAGACATTATAAAGCCAGGGGAACAAATGTTCTCACATTTTAAGAGTGAACTGTTTTAGTAGAGTCCCGGGTCAGGCTCACTCGTAAGGGTTTGTTTATTTATTTGTTTTTTTGCTTATATATTTATTTTTGTGAAATGGTCTTTTGTGCTATGCTTTGTTTATTTATTTGTTTGTTTGCTTATATATTTATTTTTGTGAAATGGTCTTTTGTGCTATGCAAAGTTTGTGCAATAAAGTAAAATCATAGTTAACAATTACTTGTTTACATAGGATATATAGGCCTATATGTATTTTATATTATTTAGGCACTTATAGGCTATAGTTAATTCAACATGCCATGGGAAGTCAATCTAACTTAACATTTCCTTATATTTATATTGTTTATTTCTTACTCCTTAACAGTTCATCAGGCTCTTAATGATTTAATCTATGCAATATTTTGGAATATCTGAAGGCCATGTACCATATTCATA